AAGAGCAGCCAGTGCTCTTAACCTCTGAGCCATCTCTCCTCTGAGCCATCTCTCCAGCCCCTTGGTTTTTATTTTTATTTTATGTTGTGATGGGTGTTTGCCTGTGTATATGTCTGTGCACCATATGCATTCAGTGCCTGAAGAGCCTAGAAGAGAATGTTGAATCCCCTGGAACTGGAATTAAAGCTGGTTGTTTTGAAGCACTGTGTGGGTGCTGGGATCCAACCCGGGTCCCCTCAAAGAGCAACCAGTGAGTATTCTTACCCATTGAGCCATCTCTCCAGCCCGTTTGTTTTGGAGACAGTCTCCTGTGTAGCTCAGGCTAACCTGGAACTTAGAGTCTTTTCTGTTTCTGCTTCCTGGGTGCTAAGTTGACACTTTGATGAAGTGTGGTTTTGGAGTTTGGTTCCATTATGTTATTGCATACGGTGAGGTGATGACCATTTGGGTTGTTGTTGCTAAGAAAAAACTGTAGAGGTCAGTAAAGTACATTAGTACCATATAATCACCTTTTTTGCCCTTTCAGAATTGATTTTCACCTCTAAGAATTGTATCTTGTGTATTTCCCAAATTATTTTGGGCACTCTTAAATTCAGAGTTTCTAAATTCTTGTTGTGCCCCTCCCCCAAGGTTTTTGTTTGTTTTCCCAATGACATGTTAAACAAAGGCATTAAAAACAACAGATAATTGTGTACTTAGGGCTGGTATGTTTGTAGTCTTGAGTCTAAACAGTGCACCTCATGAAACCATCTTACAAAATTTTATTTACAAAAGGAAATTCTTTTACACAGAGAAACCCTGTCTTGAAAAAAAAAGAAAAAGAAAAAATTATTTAGAAAACTAATTATGCTGGGCAGTGGTGACTCACGCCTTTGATCCCAGCACTCAGAGGCAGAGCCAGGAGGATATCTGTGAGTTCGAGGCCAGCCTGGTCTACAGAGAGAGTTCTAGAACAGGCTCCAAAACTACACAGAGAAGTTTTTTTACAAACTTTTGTAAAAAAAAAAAAAAAAAAAAAAAAAAGAAAGAAAACTAATTATGTTAACTTTTCTTTTGTTACTGAATTTTTTTTTTGTTTTTGTTTTTTCGAGACAAGGTTTCTCTGTGTAGCTTTGTGCCTTTCCTGGAACTCACTTTGTAGACCAGGCTGGCCTCGAACTCACAGAGATCCACCTGCCTCTGCCTCCCGAGTGCTGGGATTAAAGGCGTGCGCCACCACCGCCCAGCTTTGTTACTGAAATCTTAAATGTTGCTTAATCGTAACTCTTGTTATAAATTACATACTTTGAGCATTGGGACTTAGCCACAGTGTTATAGTATAACTGTTGTAAGGACACCTTAATGCAGCCCTGTTGAGAAGACCATACCCATAGCCCGCATGTATACAGTGTCTTTCTTGTGTACATCTGTCTAAATACTTAATAAGTTCACCAGCTTAGCTTCACTTTGAATGGTCTTGAAACTCTTTCCTGCAGCCTAGCCAAAGGTCTGGCTTTACTTGAGTGAAGGGCCTAACATTGACAGTTGGCTTCATCCTCCTCTCTTTCCTTCCCTCTCTCCTTTTCTTTATTTCGTTAGTTTTTGTGGGGTAGAGTCTCATGTAGCCAGCATAGTCTCTTGTTTCCCTGAGACAGGGTTTCTCTGTTTAACTCTAGCTGCCGTTGGGCGACAGTGGCACACGCCTTTAGTCCCAGTCCTGTAAACTAGGCTGGCCTTGAACTCACAGAGATCTGCCTGCTTCTGCCTCCCAAATGCTGGGATTAAAGCTATACTCGACCGACTGTTGCCCAGAGTAGTCATAACCTGTGTCTCTAAAATACAGGTATCACAGGAGTGTTCCACCTGGTACAGTTCAATTATTTATTTATGTTTTTTGTTGTTTTGCTTTGAATTTTTGCTGCATGTTGGGGAGCCAGAGGCAGGAAAATCACTGCAGATTGAAGGCCAGCTTAGGCTATACAGATAGACTTTTCTTTTTTCGTTTTTTTGAGACAAGTTTTCCCTGTAGCCCTGGCTGTCCTGGAACCAGTTCTATAGACCAGGCTGGCCTCGAACTCACAGAGATCCACCTGCCTCTGCCTCCTGAGTGCTGGGATTAAAGGCATGTGCCTCCACCTCCTAGCTAAAAAAATAATTTTTTTTTAATTTAATTTTATTTTTTATTTTTTTATTTTTTTTTGGTTTTTCGAGACAGGGTTTCTCTGTGTAGCTTTGTGCCTTTCCTGGATCTCGCTTTGTAGACCAGGCTGGCCTTGAACTCACAAAGATCCGCCTGCCTCTGCCTCCCGAGTGCTGGGATTAAAGGCGTGTGCCACCACCACCCGGCAAAAATTTTAATTATATGTGCATGTGAGATGTGAGTACAGGTGCCCATATCCCTGAAGCTGGAATTACAGGGGATTGTGATCTGCCTGACATGGGTGCTTAGACTTGAACCCAGGTCCTCCAGTGTAGTCGTGCACTGTCTTAACCACTGAGCGTCTTTTCAGCCCCTTTTGTTTGTTTTCTGAAATGTGATCTTGCTATGTATTTCCCAGGTTGGTCTTGAACTTATAGTATCTAGCAGTTTTCCTGTCTCAGACTCTTGAGTATCTGGGACTACATATGTGTCACCATGCCCCCATGATTTGCTTTTTTTTGTTGTTGTTGTTTTGTTTTTTGTTTTTGAGACAAGGTCACTCTTTGTAGCCCTGGCTGTCCTAGAACTCCCTGTATAGACTGGGCTGGCCTTGAACCCAGCGATCTACCTGCTTTGCTTCCTGAGTGCTGAGATTGAAGGCCTTTGCTGCTAACCAAGCTCATGGTTTGCTTTTTAAAATACTCTTTAAAAAATGAGTTTCTGTCATTATCTTATATGTCTGGATGGTTTTGTGTACGCGTGCCGCATGTGTACTTAGTGCCATCGGAGACCAGAAGAGGGTGTTGGATTCCTAAAGTTACAGGTTATTGTGAGCCACCAAAGGAATGCTGGGAATCAAGCCTGTGTCCTCTGAAAGAACAGCCCGTATTCTTAACTGCTAAGCTAAGTGCTAAAATATTCTTCAAAGTAAAATAAGGGAGAATACCTGAATATATTGTATGCTATTGTAATATAAGTATTTATTTTTTTTTCTTCCTTGTTGTATACTAATAAAATAGCCTTAGAACCTTCAAGATATTTATATTTTCATATGCTAATAAATTGACTTGTTGACTGACAGCCCTTGGGTAGTTTTTTTATTCTTCTTTTGGGTGTTAACCAGGGTTATTCTGCCTGTCTGGCGGAATTCTCCTTTAGATATGGCAATAGAGCAGCAGTCTTGGTGGGCAAACCTTTACAGAAATAATACTCTCAGTACGCCAAACTCCTCGAAGTACAGCTCTATTTTTCTTAGCTTTCTATAGTTTCTAGGAAATCTGGTTAGTATGCTACTTTTATCTTGCAGTCAGTTTGAAGCAGTACTCCTTTAGCTAAATTCTACTTTTGTGTAACTTAGTTTTTCCTAACCAAGTTTATTGGTAAATCCATTACAAGATCAGTTTATCATTTCTACCTTCTCCATCTGTAGCAAACCCAAGGGGCTATGATCTTTGAAGCTCTTCACCCCTTCTTGTTTGCCATTACTCTATGCATCTCTTTATCTGTCCTCTGCAGTATCTTTTTTCCTGTTTTTATTTTGTTTGAGACAGAGTCTCATTCTGTAGCACAGGCTGGCCTCAAAATTTGTGGTAATCCTTATGCCTTAGCTTCCCAAATGTAGGATTATAGGCATGCAGTACCACACCTGCTTTAATATCTTTATAATAAACCTGTTATTTTTCTTTTCTCTTTTCTTTTTTCTTTTTTGGTGTTTTTGGTTTTTTCGAGACAGGGTTTCTCTGTGTAGCTTTGCTCCTTTCCTGGAACTCGCTTTGGAGACCAGGCTGGCCTCAAACTCAGAGATCCGCCTGGCTCTGCCTCCCGAGTGCTGGGATTAAAGGCGTGCACTACCACCGCCCGGCTCTCTTTTGGTGTTTTAAGACAAGGTTTCTCTTTGTAATAGCTCTGGCTGTCTCGGAACTTACTTTGTAGACCAGGCTGGTTTTGAACTCACAGAGATCCACCTGCTTCTATCTCCCAAGTTCTGGGATTAAAGTTGTGTGCCACCACCACCTGGCTATTATTTATTTTTTGAAAACGGGGTATGTAGTTTGGTTGACCTGGAATTTATTATGTAAATCAGGCTGGCCTTGAATTTGTGGTAATTCTCCTGCCTCTTCCTCTTGAGTGCTGGAATTACAAACTATTACCGTCTGCGTGATCTACACTAGTAAATGTAGCTGGGTGGTGGTGGCGCACGCCTTTAATCCCAGCACTCGGGAGGCAGAGGCAGGCGGATCTCTGTGAGTTCGAGGCCAGCCTGGTCTACAGAGCAAGATATAGGACAGGCACCAAAACTACACAGAGAAACCCTGTCTCGAAAAAAAACCAAAAAATAAAATTAGTAACTAAAATAAACTAGTAAATGTAAAGATTCCTTGGGTTCTGTAAACCACTCTAGCAAATAAATCAAACTCTAGGAGGAAATCATGGGACCCTTGATTTATAGCTAGTTGATAAGAAGCATGGGTGAGCCGGGCGGTGGTGGCGCACACCTTTAATCCCAGCACTCGGGAGGCAGAGGCAGGTGGATCTCTGTGAGTTCGAGGCCAGCCTGGTCTACAGCTCGAGATCCAGGAAAAGCGCAAAGCTACACAGAGAAACCCTGTCTCGAAAAACCAAAAAAAAAAAAAAAGAAGCATGGGTGAAACAAGCTGGGAATTAGGGTGACATTGAAAGTGGGGCAGTTGGAATACCCCTCCACACACACACACACAGTCTGATGTCAGAAGCATATTGTTAGGAGGAAACTGATTTTGTTTATTTTTATATCAAGATTATGATTTTTTGTTTTGTTTTAGTTTCATCCAGTGGGAACTGAGTTACAGATAATTTTTAAAGATACTAGAAAGTTCTGACTAGTTACTCTTTCATTCTGCAGTTGTCTCAGGTAACTGATGGCCATGCAAGAAAAATATCCAAATGACAGGTCTTCTCATGCTACTTCACCAGGTAAGAAGCCTTCTGTATTAAATTTTGGCTTCTGGGGTGGGTGTGTGTGTGTGTGTGTGTGTGTGTGTGTGTGTGTGTGTGTGTGTGTGTGTTACAAGTGTGTTCGGATATGCTCCCTTGTGCATGTGGAGTCCAGAGGTTAACTTTTATGTCTGACTATGAGACATAGTTCTATGTGAAATAGGGGAAAACAACCAGCATGAATCACTATGTTCTACTCACGTGCTATGTCTGGGTCTGCCGACAGTCAGCTGGGTAGCTGGGTAGAGGCGTGCCGATTGAAGAGACAATGAAGAAACAGAACAGAGTCGAGAGGTATGCCGGACAGCCCCAAGTTTTTTTCACAGCCAGCTTATATACAGTTTTGAAGGACAGAGGTAGAACAATGCACAGCACAGGCATTCAACCACTATCTATCCTGCCTTGCGTCAAGGAGCAGGCAGTTCCATTTTCTATCTCAATGTACCTCCGGCTGGCATCAGCAGCCTGCGTCTAGTGTATTTTTTCCTGTGGGCTAATCAGGACTTTCTCACAGCCCTGGAGCAAGCAAGAAGCTTGAACTCTATTGATTCAGAATAGACTTCAGATTCAAACTGGGAAACTGAGTCAGTTGTGAGTTCTCACAGTACTTCTCCACAAAGATTGGAATTCTTGGATACCAGCTGTGGGAATTTATCTCTAGATCATGGTAGTGCATCCCACACACAGCTCTTGGGAGACAGAAGCAGATCAAAGCTTCAAGGCCATCCTGGGCTGTGTGTGCATCCAGAACCTACCTCAGAAGAGAAATAATATATTTTTTCTTTTGGTATTGCTAAGCTTTGAACCCTGAGCTTTGTAGATGCAAAACAAGAACTCTACCACTGAACTACATCCACGACTCTTCTAAAGAAAGAAAACAATGATAAACAAATGATTAAAAACAAGCCAGTAGCACACACACTTGAGGCCAAGGCAGAGGATCAAGAGTTTGAAGGCATAGGTGATATTGTCTCAAAAACCAAAATAATTTGGATTCAAGTCTTTCTAGGACTTGCTTTGTGTTTTGTTTGTTTCTTACTGGTTTTGTAGACAAGCGCTTGCTATGTAGTCCAGGCTGGCCTCAAACTTGGGAACATCTTCTTGTATTGGCTAAAATACTGGCTTTGCTAGTATGTTAATAAATTTTTTAAAGATTAAAAAAAAAATTAAGTGTATGTGTGGGTGTATGCACATGAGTATAGGTGTTAGGCCAGGTCAGAAGAGGGAATTAATTCCCCCTAGAGCAGAAGTCACAGGTGCTGGGAACTGAACTTGGATACTCAGAGCAGTATGTGCTCTTAATCACTGAGCCATTTCCATGACTGTTAATTTTTAAAAATCCTAATCTAACCTACCTACTAGTACATACAACAAGCTTTGAAGGCATATTCTTTTAGTCTTGCTTTTTCTTACCTGCTCAGGAACTGAAGTGGTTTAATATTTTACATTTAAATTTTTTTTAATGATTTTGTATGTATGCATGTTCTGCCTGCATGTATATCTGTGCACCAAGTTCATGCCTGGTGTTCAGATCCCATGGAACTGGAGTTAAGGATGGATGTAAGCCATCATGTGGGTGCTGGGTATCAAACCTGGGTCCCTGGAAGAGCAGCCAGTGCTCTTAATTGCTGAACCATCTCTCCAGCCCCTTTGTATTGCTGTCAAGGTAACTTTTTTTTTTTTTTTTTTTTTTTGAGAAAGGGTCTCACTATGTAACCCTGGCTAGATTGGAACTTGATCTGTATCCCTGGCTAACCTTGAACTCAAAGAGACCTGTTTCTGTGTGGGATTAAAGGCATGCACCACCACATCAGACCCACCTTAAACTTTTTAGATTGACTTTCAAAATTTATCTGGATTGACCTGTTGAGGATACCCTGGTTCAGACTAGCAGTAGTTTTTAACAAGTATCTGTTTCTTTGTGCAGCCTTGGAACATGTAGGATAATTCACACATCATTGTGATTGAATGAGGGTTGCTGCTGGTATTGTTTGTAGAAGCCAATGATATTAAACCATTCTATGATGTGTAGACTACATAGGCTATACATTGAGGAATATTTTTGTTTAGAATGCTAACAACACCCATTAACAAACCATGTAAGCCAGGCGATGGTGGTGCATGCCTTTAAGCACTTAGGAGGCAGAGGCAGGCGGATCTCTGAGTTTGAGGCCAGCCTGATCTTCAGAGAGTTCCAGGACAGCCAGGGCTACACAAAGAAACCCTGTCTCGAAAACAAAGCTAGACAAAAAAAAAGTTCTTTGAAATGGTTGTTACCAGGCTTTTAGAATGCAATTTCTCATTTGCTGTGGGCATAATCTAAGAAAACTCCCTAGGGTTTTCCATATACTACTTTGTTAGTAGACAACCTGTCAGGAACATTTTATTGCTGATGAGGTTTTTAAGAACCACATTGCAAATTATCACTATAGTACATGCTTAGAGCAAGGATCTATTATAAATTTTTCTATAAGGTAATAAGGTGTTGTAATGTAGGTAGGTCTAACCAAGGTAGAACGTAAGCTCCAGGTGCTTCGTTGATTACTTCCATATTCTTGTCATCCAGGACTAATAACACAACTGGATTCATCACCAATTATTTGAAAAAGGGTTATCTTGAGAAATCATGAACTTCAGCAACGTGGATGGACAGTGAAGGAATTACATCTGAAATCCCCTAAATGAAAATTTACTGACTTTACTGCCAAGCCCCCCTCCCTCCCACACACACACAAAGTACTTCATTGAGTTTCATCAGGTGCTTCACACCAAAGTGAAAAATGTCTCTTATTACAGGTTCCAGTGTGATTCAAAAAGGCAGTTCTCTGGGAACTGAATGGCAGACACCAGTTATCTCAGAGGCCTTTCGGAGCCGCTTCAGCCGCTGCTCGAGCATCGCTGACAGTGGGGACACAGCCATTGGAACTTCATGCTCAGACATTGCAGAGGGTAAGGTTGGATTCTATTGTCAACATATGCTGCCATTTTCAATTTGAATTCCATATGTATTGTCATTTACAGAATGATCATAAGGTCAGGCTGTTCAGTTATGGAACTGAATAATCATGAATAATTACTTTTTATTTCTTAATATCACCAAGTTTGTTTCTTACTATGGCATGAGTACACAGACCTGATTTTTGTTTGTTTCTGTGGTCCTAGAGGTTGACTCTTGGGTCCTCCTCACACATGCTAGGCAGGTGTTCTGCCAGTCAGACAGGACCCTTGTCTGTTGCTTTTCCTTCTTTTATCTAGGCCTCTTTGGGCTGTTCCCATCTTTAGTTGCTTCTACTAGCTATGCCAGTTTTACTGCTGTGACTGTCCTACGAGGCTCTCTCCATCCCTTTTCCTTTACTGAGCCCTTTGCTTATAACATTTTTGTATCTTTAATATCTCTGCCACTTGTTTTTGCACTTCCATACCAACTACCAGTCAATACTTTGCAAGGCATTTAGATGGAGCTTAGAGGGCAGGAGGTCTAGTGGTAAGAACTACTATTTATGGGCTGCAGACTTTTTAATCCCAGCACTCAGAAGGCAGAGGCAGGCAGATCTGAGTTCAAGGCCAGCTGGATCTGGTTTACTGAGTTCAGGATAACCAAAGCTACATAGTGAGACCCTATCTCGTAAAAGCAAACAAACAAAAAATTACCATTTAGGAGACTGGAGTGATGGCTCATCAGTTAAGAGCACTTGTTGCTCTTTTTTGTTTGTTTTGTTTGTTTATTTTTTATGGTTTTTTGAGACAGGGTTTTTCTGTGTAGTTTTGATGCCTGTCCTGGATCTCGCTCTGTAGACCAGGCTGGCCTTGAACTCACAGAGATCTGCCAGGCTCTGCCTCCCAGTGCTGGGATTAAAGGCATGTGCCACCACTGCCCGGCACTTGTTGCTCTTCTAAAGGACCCAAGTTTATTTTCTAGCACCCACATCAGGTAACTCACAACAATCTGTAACTGAAGTTACAGGGAATCATGTGGTACACATGCACACATGCAGACATAACACTCACGAATAAAATAAAAGAAACCTTTTTAAGTGTGTATATTATTTTTCGGTTTTGGGGACAGTGTCTTATGTAGAGCAGGCTGTCTTTGAACTTGCTGTGTAGTCATGAATAACCTATTTTCCTGCGTCTATCTCTCAAAGTGCTTGTATTACAGGTGTGTGCCACCATGGCCAGCTAGTAATAAAAAAATATAATGAAGTACTAATGGTAGCATACTAGTTCAAGGCCAGCTTGGGCTACATAGCAAGACCCTGTTTCAAAAAATAAAAAAAAGTACTCTGTGTGTATGACTAAAAATGTAGATAAGTTGGAATCTTTGTATGTAACTGGTAGGAATGTAAAATATTGTAGTTGCTTTGGAAAAAAATCTGGCAATTTAAATATAAAGGTTTTTTTTTTTTTCCTTCCTTGAGACAGTCTCATGTATTCCAGCTTAGCCTCAAACTCCCTACATAGCTGAGAATGACTTTGAACTTCTGATTCTCCTACAGATGTGCCACTATGCCTGATTTTCATGATACTAGGGATTAAACTCAGGGCTTCATGCATGCTTGACAGGTGTTCTACCAACTGAGATATATCCTCCTGAAGATAACTTTTAAGTTAATAATTATACTTTTAGGTTTATAGCCAAGAGAAATGAAAACATGTGAACATGAATGTTCATAGCAGCCTTATTCGTAATAAGCAAAAAGTAGAAACACATTCACAGCTGATGAATGGATAACTAAAAAAATGTTGTATGTCCATATAAAAATTTTAGAATAAAACAAATGGCCGGGCAGTGGCAGAGCCAGGCAGATCTCTGTGAGTTCGAGGCCAAGGCCAGCCTGGTCTACAGAGCAAGATCCAGGAAAGGCGCAAAGCTACACAGAGAAACCCTGTCTCAAAAAACCAAAAAAAAAAAAAAGAATAAAACAAATGAAGTATTAGATGAACCTTCAAAATATTAAGCAAAGTTAATAATAAAAAACAGCAAAACAGAAAAGCTTCATAATACATATGGTATTTAACATTTCTTCTTTTTTTGTGTGTGTGTATTATACCTGTGATCACATGCCATGGTACAGTGTGGCAGTCAAAGGCCTGCTTGTGACAGTCAGTTCTCTCTACCATATGAGTCCCAGGGAACTTAAATTGTTAGACTTGGCAGTAAGGGCTTGGGGGTAAGTGCCTTTAACTACTGAGCCATCTCACTGGCTCTGGTTGATCAGTTTGTTTGTTGAGACAGTCTCATGTATTTCAGGCTAGCCTCCACCTTGCTATGTAGCTGAGAATGACGTTGAACTTCTGCCTCCACCTCCTAAGTGCTGAGATTACCTCCACTTTCTGAAAATTGGCATATACTAGTTTAAGCAGTGTCAGAGATCAAACCCAGCCAGGACTCTGCATGCTAGACAAGCACACGCAGTCCACCAACTGAACCTAGAGCTCACTGACTCAGACTGGTTGGCCAACGAGACTCAAGAATCCTCCTATCTCTTGTCTCCCTGGCACCAGGATGAAAGGCTTTTGTTATCTTGCTCAGCCTTTTTTTTTTTTTAACATGGGTACTGGTAATTGAACTCAGGATTCCATATTCTCCACAGCAAGTACTTTACCAACTGAACAATCTCTCCCAGCCTACTTTTCTGCCATTTTTGTTTATATACTGTTACTGTATGTGTTGCTAGAAATCAGACTGAGGACTTGCATACATGTTAGGCAAATGTTCTATCACTGGACTATATCCCCAGTCCTATGCCATGAGGTTTTAATTTTTTTAGATTTTTGAGGCAGTGTCTCATGTAATAGCCCAGGCTGACCTTGAAGTCACAGTGTAGCCAAAGATAGTAAGACAACTGATGGAATTACAGGCACTCCTTACTATATCCAGTCCTCGATTTTTTAGTTAGGCTTTTTAGATTTCAGAGTTTGGGTTATGGATGCCCAATCAGTCAAATCTGTGCAAATATCCCAAAGTCACATTTTTATCCTTGTTCCATTCCAACATTTACACCATTTTTGGTCTCGGTTGCTTTAGAACAGAATTATTCAACCTGTAGTTGCTGGGCTGATTCAAACTAGCATCCTTGATAACCAGTGTGGAATGTGGTCAGAACTGATTGATTTTAGCAATAGCTGACTCCATTCCATGAAAGGAGGGTTGCTGGGAAGAATAGACTGCTTTTTGAGGGGACAGGATGTGACTTAAGAGATTTAGAATTATACCTTTGAACTATCAAAGGCTTCATGATTTGGGGAACCATGGCTGTCTATATATAAACAAAATCTGGAATACCTTTGAAAATCATAGAATATAGGGCACATTTGAAAATAAGTATTGCTGTTCTCTTTCAAAATGTCCTAAAAGGCAATCAGACTTGAGGTGGACTTAGTATTTGAAAGCGTGGGTCTGAGTTGGTTGTATTAGCAGCCCTTCCAGTCTCTGTCCTCCTCCAGTACCATTGCTGTTGGAACAGGACGGGGGGTGGGTGGGGGTGGGGGTGGCCGGCCCTTAGGAGAGCTGTAGGATGGTGCTCTCATCATCCAGCCTGATACCAAGGTTGTCAGACCGATTGCCTAGTGGTCTTAGACTTACAGCATGTTACCAGAGCTTCTTCAGGTTTTCGGAGGAATTCTGTGTGCTTGTTTGGTTTGGACACGGTTTGACTCCATAGCCTAGCCTGCCTAGAGCTTTATATGTAGCTCAAGCTGGCCTTGAGTTTGTAGTCCTCCTTCCTCAGCCTCCTAGGTGTGCTGAGATTATAGGGGTGTACACCCATTCTAGGCTTAGTTTTTGGGGGTTTTGTTTTGTTTTTAGTATAGTCTTTTATATGCTGCCAGGATAACCTGAATATAGGAAGTTGGATACTTCACATAAATTACAAGGGATAACTTGGATTAGATGTGTTTGGTTTTTGTTACTTGTTTGATTTTGGAGACATTTTATTTTGAGACAGGGTCTTATTATAAACTAAGCCTGGCCGGGTGGTGGTGGTGCACACCTTTAATCCCAGCACTTGGGAGGCAGAGGCAGGTAGGTGGATCTCCGTGAGTTTGAGGCCAGCCTGGGCTACAGAGAGTTCCAGAACAGCCAGGACTGTTAGACAGAGAAACCCTGTTTCAAAAAACAAAACCAAAAAGAAAGAAAGAAAAAACCCTCAAGTTGGCTTTCAGCTAGCTATGTAGCCTGGGTAGGCTTCAAATAAATATAAATCTAGTCTGAAGAAAAGTTTTAAAAAAGTTTAAAATCACATTCTAGTACAGACAAGTGGGTAAGTGGAAAACAAAATACAAAATAGAAGATTTCTGTATTTACCCACTTGAGCGTGCTCAGTGTGCAAGGATGAAACCTGAGAGTTACTAAGAATAACCTCGAATGTCCAGGCAGTCGGCTCTGGGGTGTGGGAGAGAGCAGTCCTGACTCAGATGCTGTGCTCCTGCCCTGGATCCCCAGCAGCACGTCTCTCTCCTGTCTTCAGGTAGTTTGGACTCGTTGCTCACTTTCACTGAGGAGCTTTTGGAGGTCAGAGGGCTTCAGCACTCCCTGGAAGGAATTTTATTTTTATTAGATTAGATTGTAATTTAGATTTGTCCAGCTTCCAGAAGAGTGGGCCTAGTCCATTTCCCTTAAAGTAAGGGATTGTTTTAAATGTTGTTTTCAGCTTTGCTTAATGACCACCAAGAGTTTATTGAGATACAATGGACATAATACAAGTTAAAAATGAAGCCATCCTTGTCTTTTGTTGTTGGCGTATCTTCAAAATCATAGCATTTGAGATACTGGAACACATTTCTCAAGTTATTGTGTCTTCTTGCTTGATTTTCTTTCTTCCTTTTCTAGGGAGCAAGGGTGGTACTCTAGCCATGGCTGGCCCAGAACTGTTAGGGTAGCCCATACTAGTCCTTGTGATTCAACCTCCCAAGTTGACTCCCTAGCGGATTACCGGGGTGAGCCACCACTTCCAACTCCTGCCTGCTTCTTCTGATACAGCATCTGGCCTAGCAGCCAAACAAGAAAACTTGGTGCTTTAATTTTGACTCATGGAACACTCTTCTCTTCACAGATTTTTGCAGCTCAAGTGGCAGCTCTTCTTTCCAGCCAATCAAAAGCCACATAACCATTCCAACAGCCCATGTAATGCCTTCTACTTTGGGGGCCTCTCCTGCCAAACCAAATTCTACACCTTCTGGGCCTTCTTCCTCTAAACTCCCCTTGTCGGGTTTGGCTGAAGGTGTGGGGATGACAAGAAATGGAGACTTTGGTGCAGTGAAGCGTTCTCCAGGCCTGTCAAGAGATTTCATGTATCTCCCTAGTGCTGCTGGAGAGAATGGGATTCAGCAGTCCTGGTTTCCAGCAGTCGGCCATGAAAGAGAGGGAGAGATGAGGAAGTTTGATATTCCTAACATGGAGTCTACCCTTAACCAGCCTGCCATCGTAGAGACGTTATATTCAGATCCACATTACCGAGTCCACTTCCCTAACCCAAGATCTGATGCAAATAAGGATGTATACAAAGTATTGCCAGAATCCAAGAAGGCACCAGGCAGTGGTGCAGTGTTTGAACGGAATGGACCACATGCCAGCAACAGTGGAGTGCTCCCTTTGGGACTCCAGCCTGCTCCTGGGCTTTCCAAGTCACTGTCCTCTCAGGTGTGGCAACCAAGTCCTGACCCTTGGCATCCTGGAGAACAGTCTTGTGAGCTCAGTACTTGTCGACAGCAGTTGGAATTGATTCGTTTACAGATGGAACAAATGCAGGTAGAGAACCATTTCTTGAATTTTTCATCTTGTGTTCCTCCTCATAACCTTTGTCTTAATAAGTTTTAGGTTTTGTTTGTTTTGGTTTTTTTGAGACAGGGTTTCTCTGTGTAACCCTGGCTGTATTACTACATTTATATGTGAATATTTGAGTGTGGGTTTGTGCGTGTGAGTGAAGTGACCAAGAAGACCAGAAGAGGGCGTGGATCCCCTGGAGCTGGAGTTAAGGCAGTTTGGGAGCCACCTGACATGGGTGCTAGGAACTAAACTCAGGTCCTCTGGAAGAGCAGTATATGTTCTTAACTGCCAAGCCATCTCTCCAGCCTGCTTTGTCCTTAACAAGTTTTAACTCTATAGAAAACATTTGTGAGAACAGATGATGTTTGTAGACAGGAAATGAAAATGTGAGTTCGTGGCCTTTAAATCTGTTGGTAGTCTGATAAAAGACCAGATATGTTCTCCAAAGTAGAGAATTATGAGGGAAAGCTTTAAAAGTTAGAACACTAACACCAATCACATACTCATATGCTGGTTCCTTTCACGTACAGATTTGTACTTAATTCTTTTTTGTTTTTCGAGACAGGGTTTCTCTGTGTAGCTTTGCGCCGTTCCTGGATCTGGCTCTGTAGACCAGGCTGGCCTCGAACTCACAAAGATCTGCCTGCCTCTGCCTCCCGAGTGCTGGGATTAAAGGCGTGTGCCACCACCGCCCGGCTGTACTTAATTCTATAGTACCTGATCAGCTAATGGTAGAAATTTAACAGGCTTGTAGACTGAATCTGCTCAGGGTCACAACAAAGGTAAGTGACAGAACTAAGCTTTGAAGATCATGGTTTTGGTTTTTGAGACAGGGTTTCTCTATGTAGTCTTAGTTGTCCTGGAGCTTGCTATGTAGACCAGGCTGGTCTTGAACTCACAAAGATCCACCTGCCCCTGCCTCCTCAGTGCTGGGATTAAAGGCCACCATGCCCAGCCCTAAAGATCATTTTTGAGGGGCCAGTGAGATTGGTCAGCGGGTGAAGGCACTGCTGTACAAGCCTGGAACATGAATTCCATCCCCAGACTCCAGGACATCCACACATGTTCTTGCTTGTTCTCTCTCTCTCTCTCTCTCTCTCTCTCTCTCTCTCTCTCTCTCTCTCTCTCTCTCTCTCTCTCTCGCACACGCACACACACTCGCTCACTCACAATCAACATTTGAAGTGGGTGTGGTGTCGAATGCCTGTTTCAGGAGGCAGAGGCAGGAATTGGAACCAGTTTGATCCACATAGTGAGTTCCAGACTAACTAGGACTGTGTGTCTAGCTAGACCCTGCCTCAAAAAAAAAAAAAAAAAAAAAAAAAAAAAAACAACCCAGCAGTGTCAGAATAGAGAATGTCTTTGAATTCTTGGTTGGTGTTTTGTTTTGGGTTTGTTTGTTTGTTTGTTTGTTTGTTTTTGTTTTGTTAAGCCCTACCACACCCCAACCCCACTTTGTGCTGCTAAAGAGTGAGAAGGAAGGAAATGGTATATTCTCCTTCTCTGGTCTGTGAGCTCCTGATTTAATAACTGACCTTAGAAACTAGAGACTTCCTGAGCAGAGTGTTTAGTTGGCAGACATCCCCCGTGGCAAGTTCTTCCCAGTCATGCATCAGAGCTAAAATTATTTTAAAAACATTGACTTTATCAGGCAGAGCCAGACTAGACCTTGACTTCCAATTCTAACTGGGTACTGCTGAGGTGTTCCCAGGTACCTGTGGTCAGGCTCAAGCCCGGCTGGCCTGTTTGTCTTCCAGCTTCAGAATGGAGCCGTCTGTCACCATCCTGCTGCTTTTGCTCCTTTACTGCCCACCTTAGAGCCAGCACAGTGGATTAGCATCTTGAACAGTAATGAACATCTTCTGAAAGAAAAGGAGCTCCTCATTGACAAGTAAGATGGTGGGGTGCTGCTGCAAGACCAGGCTTTGCTCTTGGGTCTCCCAGGGAGGTGCCTAATGAGGTCTTCCAAGGGCAGGTTATGCCTCTCTCCCCCCCCCCCCTTTACTTAACCCTTGTTTAGACCCATGCTTTGCCTCAAGGTAGAGCCTGGCTGAAGGGCAGTTTAGTCTTGCCTGTTATTAATGTGGTAGGCCAGTCTCTCTGTAGGGCCTCTGTGGAGGACTTACAGGGGATGACTGGTTTACTGCAAATCTTTGTTCATTTTTCCCCTTAATTTTTTTCTCATTTGATCCTACCTTTTCAGCAAAATATAATGTCCATCATACATTTGTGGTATTGTGGTGTAGCACACATAGCTGCCTTCCAAAATGGGATATCTAGAATCAAGGTCTAGGATTGTTACCCTTCTATCTAAGGAAAGGGGCTTATTCTGTAAAGTAGTTTAATGTCGGGATCTCAGATCTGACTGTTGGCTTTTGCAGGCAGAGGAAACATATCTCTCAGTTGGAGCAGAAAGTACGAGAGAGTGAACTACAAGTCCACAGTGCCCTTTTGGGTCGTCCTGCCCCTTTTGGAGATGTCTGCTTATTGAGGCTCCAGGTAAATATAGCTCCCAGGGTAGCACTCTTCTTACTATAATTTAGTATTTTCCCTGTGCTTAGATATCCAGGAAATAGAGAAGGAATCAAGATAACAAAGGTGCCCTGCTCTTAAAGAGTAAACATCTTAAATTTTCCTGGACTCTGGTGAGGTTAGAAAAGGCTTCAGGGGAACACCAGGTGAGAGACCAGATGTCTTGGTATCGAAGATACTTGGGGAGGAAAGGAAGGCAAAGCGCTTTAGTAAGGTCCTAGCATTGCATAATATTCTTAGAAGTCTTTGTGTTTTATTATCTTTGTTTGTATAAAAGATTTTTAAAAAAAAAGATTTATTTATGGGTATGAATGTGTTGCCTGCATGTATTATGACAGCATTCATGCATGATGCCCGAGGAAGTCAGAAGAGGGTGTGCAAAAGCAACAAGTAATCTAAAATGATGTGCCATTTCTCCAGCTCTTGTAGATGACTGTTGTGACTACATGTATGTCTATGTACCGCTTGCATGCCTAGTGTCTGTGGAGGCCAGAAGAGGGCATATAAACTCCCTGAATTTAGAGTTAACAAATGGTTGTAAGCTGTTATGTGGGTTCTAGAATCAAAGCTAGGTCCTTTGGAAGAGCATCCAGTGCTGAGCCATCTCTACAGCCTTATTTTCAGAAGTCTTTTTATTTAGTTGGTTTGTTTATTGTAGCACGAATCTTAAAAGTTCTTATTAATAAAAACAAACCCGGAGCCAGGTATTGGGGCGAACGCTGGGAGATCAGAGAGACAGAACAAGCCACAGCTTCCTCACCTCGCCAATTCCTCAGCTGATCCTGTTTCCTCAGACTGGAAGCTTCTGTGTCCTCATCCAAAATGGGTCTCAGCTGAACTGCTGCTCAAAAGCCTAAAAACTTAACCAGGCTCTAGTTCCTGGTTTTCACGCCTTATATACCTTTCTGCTTTCTGCCATCACTTCCTGGGATTAAAGGCGTGTGTCACCATGCCTGGCTGTTTCCAGTGTGGCCTTGAACTCACAGAGATCCAGACGGAGCTCTACCTCTGGAATGCTAGGATTAAAGGTGTGTGTGCCACTATTTTCTGGCCTCTATATCTAGTGGCTGTTCTGTTCTCTGACCCCAGATAAGTTTATTAGGGTGCATAATATTTTGGGGAACACAATATCACCAGTTTATTTGTTGTTTTTTCAGGACAGGGGTTCTCTGTTGTAGCCCTGGCTGTCCTGGAACTCCTCTCTGTAGACCAGGCTGGCCTCAAACTGCACAGCTACTACTAGACATTCTTAGAAGTCTCAGTCTGCCAGCCCTGGCCAAATAAAGAGCGGCAGAGGCCATGGGAGATTTAGAGCTGTTCTTATTTTTATTCTTTCATATCTAGGAACAGTTTAAAGAGAACCATATTCTCACTGAGAAAAACCATATTCTCACTAAGGTCAGTGTCCAGTAGGGTTGAGAAAGAATCTGCTTTGTCAACTAAATTTATGCAGTTTGTGCTTTTGAGTGATGAATATTAGATTATAGTATGAAGGCCTGTTTGATCTAACAGCATTAGAATATTCTCTGATTTACTGATGAAAACAGGTGTGAGTAGAGAGAGCTAGGCCTTAAACCAGTCTTGTGGTTTGTTTGTGGTCCTTCCTCTGTGGCATACATCCTTGGATATTACTGTAGTTTTTTGTTTTGATTTAATTTTATTTCTATTTTATGTCTTTTGAGTATTTTGTCTATCTGTATGTCTGTGTACCATGTGTGTGCCTGGTGCCCATGGAGGTCAGAAGGGGGCTTCAGATCTCCTGGAACCAGAATTACAGGTGGATGGATGTTAGCTGCTGTTTGGGTGCTGGGAACTGAACCCGGGTCCTCTGCAAGAGCAGCCAGTGCTCTTACTCATTGAGCCAAATCTCTACCCCCAGGTATTGATGTTAAAACAGTGGTTCTGAAACTTGATCGCACATCAGAGTCACTTGGAGGGCTGACAGCACAGATTACTAGAATCTGTCCCTAGTATTTCTGATTCAGTGGACCAATGAGTAAGATTCCAAAACTTAACAGATTCCAGTAACATGTGATACTGACTCTTGGTCCTGGAGAAGCATGCCTGAAGAAACACTGGAGGATGATACTTGACCTAGAGCATGATGGGAAATGTGTAATTACAAGGAACCAGTTACATCTTAAGAATGTTTTTGGCAGGAGTTGCAGCGAGAGAACACTTTCTTACGGGCACAGTTTGCACAGAAGACAGAAGCCTTGAGCAAAGAAAAGATGGAGCTTGAAAAGAAACTCTCTGCTTCAGAAGTTGAAATTCAGCTCATCAGGGAATCTCTCAAAGTGACACTACAGAAGCATTCGGAGGAGGGGAAGAAACAGGAAGAAAGGGTGAGCTGAGAAGCTGATGGCTCTAACCCACGAGAGAGTTTGGTAGTCGGTCTTCTTTGCCAAATAGTCTCTAGTCTGTTCCCCGAATCAGAGAAGCCAGTTAGGTGGGACTCCCCATTGGCTTCTCACCCAGCACCAGTCTGGAGATGGAACTCTACTTTCCTGCCTCATTTCTCCAAGATTACTCAAGTCAGGGAGAGGTGAACAGTCCCTCGCTAGCCCAAGGTCTTTTGGAGGGAAACCAGCCAGGGCAGTTGTGTCAGATTGCACATTGCAAGAGGTTTAAGTGCCTGTGGTAACCTTAACTCCATTCAGTCTGCTTTCTCTTCATCCTCATGGAAAGAAGAGAAAGATGTCATGATTGCAGCTAGATTGTGAGTTGGTTGGTGTTCTTAGAATTCCTTAGTAGAAAATTGCTCACCATTGGGGAAGATCTTTTAAAATGTTGGGGTTCTGTTGGTACTCCAATTCACAGCTTTCTCTAAAATGTTCTTGGGGGACTAATTTAGCTCTAGGCTACTTGTATCAAAACAAGTTACAACAGTGCATTTTTAAAGTCTCATTTGTTTATTATGGGGCAAGTACACAGAGGACAACCTATGGGAATTGGTTCTCTTCTTCCATTCTGTGGGTCCTGGGAATTGAACTCAGGTCTTCAGACTTGGTGGCAAGTGCCTTTACCCACTGAGATATTTCACCAGCTTTTTTTGGGAATGGAAATCTCACTGTGTTGTCCAGACTGGCCTTGTTTTCATAGAAAATCACCTGCTTCTGCCACACTAGGCTTTCTTCTGCCTTTGCATTCAGTCCAAGACCCCAGCCCATGTGTGACACCAACCACATAGGTTTTGTCTTTCCAGCTCAGGTAACCTAATCTAGTTAAATCCCTCACAGATGGCAAAGGCTCCTCTCCTCAGTGGTTCTGTATCCTGTCAAGTGGACAGCACTAACCACATGGTTGTTAAATTGTGGTGGGCAGTGAGCTAGCTCAGTGGGTGAAAGGCCTGATGACCTGAGTTCAGTCCCTAGTTCCCACAAGGGAGGGAGAGAACCAACTCCTGAGAGTTATTCTCTATGTGTGCCCACATATACATAGCATACACATACACAATAATTAATAAAATAAGGTTAAAGGGAAGGAATGTTAGGCATGATGATGCATGACTTTAATCCCAACACTCAGGAGGCAGAGGCAGACATATTTCTGTGAGTTTGTGACCAGCCTGGTCTCTACAGCAAGTTCTAGGCTAACTAAGGCTACATAGTGAGACCCTGTCACCAAAAAATGAGACAGGCTTGGCCTTTGAATTCTCAGTGCTGACAGCCAACAGGATCTAGAGTCTTGACGTTGTACGTAGATTTTTACTTAGACTTGTTCTCAGCCCTATACTGCACCCTGTCTCTTGCCAAGGATTAATGTTTGTGGGTCTTCAAGCCTCTCATTTGATCTCTCAGGTGTATATAGTTCAAGTTTCTTGTTGGGAAAGCCTCCATGGGGATGGTTAACTTGCATTGAAATTAACAATGAATTCCCTGAATTTTCAGGTCTGTAACTGAGAAGACCTGCCTTCAGAGGTGCCTGGTGCTTTAAGAACAGAAGCTCATGGGAGTGGTCTGTAACTCCCATGAAGGTTAAATCCTCTGCCATGAGTGGTTTATCTCTCTCTGCATACTTTGAAAACATGTTAAAATATCATATACATTTTATTTTAAAGATTACATTTATGTGTGTGAATATATGCCACATACGTGCAGGTTCCTGCAGATGCCCTAAGAAAGCCTTGGCTCTTCTGGAACTGGAGTTACAGGAGGTTATGAGCTGCCTGACATGGGTGCTCTTAACTGCCCAGCCATTTCAGCAGCCCCTGGTTTCTTGGGTTTGTGTGTGTGTGTGGGGGGGGGGGGGGTTGTTTTTTGGAGGGTTTTTTTTTTCTTTGTTTTTTGTTTTATTTTGTGTGTGGTGTGTGTGTGTGTGTGTGTGTGTGTGTGTGTGTGTGTGTGTGTGTGTGTAGAGGGTGCTGGGTAACCCTGGAGCTAGAGTTAGAGGTGGTTGTGAGCTGCCTGATGTGGGTGCTGGGAACCAAACTCAGGTCCTCTAGAAGAGCAGGAGCAGTCCTCTCACCCATTGAGCTGACTTCCCAGCCTCCATGTGGTATCCCCTCTTTTTTTTTTTTGAGATAGTCAAGACTTAGAGTAATCTAGCCTTCACCATGTAGTTCAGGCTGGCCTCAGACTTGAGGCAGTCCTTCCACTTGAGAACTACACAGACTAGGAGTATATGTAGATTCCCACACCCACACACATACTTTTGTCTCCTTTCTTGCTATCTTCCTGTGGAGCCCTGGCTGGTCTCAGCTCAAGAAGGTCCACTAGTCTCCTACTCCTGAGTGGTAGAGTTAGAAGAATGTGCCACCACACCCAGCTTATCTGCCTTTTTTTTTAAACGTTAATACTCTATGGTTTTTTGTTTTTTGTTTTTTTCAAGACAGGGTTTCTCTGTGTAGTTTTGCGCCTTTCCTGGAACTCGCTCTGTAGACCAGGCTGGCCTCGAACTCACAGAGATCCACCTGCCTCTGCCTCCCGAGTGCTGGGATAAAAGGTGTGCGCCACCAACGCCCAGCCTACTTTATGTTTACATGTGGATCACTTTACCTTTTTGGCTTTTACTCTAGAACTGGTTTATCATCATTTTTCAGTGAACATCCCAGGTGATTTTGGTACAAACTAAACTGAGAACTACAGGTTTAGAGCTGGATGGTTACAGCTTATACCTGGGATAAAGCTTTTATTTTATTATTTTTTTAAGATTTTATTATTTATATATATGAGTGCTTTATCTGCATGTACAACTTTTTGCCAGAAGAGGACATCAGATCCCACTAGAGATGGTTGTGAGCCACCATGTGGTTGCTGGGAGTTGAACTCAGGACCTCTGGAAGACCAGGCAGTGCTCTTAACCATTGAGCCATCTCTCCAGCCCCATGCTTTTATTTTCAAAGATTGTACTTGATATTGTCATGTCTTTGGATGGAAGAATAGGGTGTCTCTGCTCTCACATAATTCTCTGCCTCACTTTTCCTCTTCTTTTGTTCCCCCTCACTCCCTTATTTGTAAGCCAAAGAAAACATCTCCTTCCAGCAACACTTCAGTGAGTTCCTTCTGGGACAAGCATTATGCTATGCTTTAGGAATACGATAATGTAGCAGAATGGATATAATCCATAGAAATAGCCATTCCTTTCAAAGATTTACCTTATCAAACAAATGATTATGTTACAGCAGTGCTACAGTTTGGTTTGGTTTGGTTTGGTTTTAATGTATGCTGGTGCACCACATTCATGTAGTGCCCTTGGGGGTCAGAGGAAGGTGTCAAATCCCCTGGAACTGGAGGGACAGATGGTTGTGAGCCACTGTGTGAGTACTGGGAACAGAACCTGGGTCCTCTAAAGAGCAGCCAGTGCTCTGACTGCTGAGTCCTCCCTCCAGTCCAGAAACCAGTTTCACTTTTGTTGTTTTGTTTTTCAATTATTGCAAAGTAAATAAAATTTTCTTTTGGGGGGCATTTTTTGTTTGTTTGTTTGAGGCAAGATTTCTCTATGTAACAGCCCTGGCTGTCCTGATAATCACTTTGCAGACCAGGCTAGCCTCGAACTCACAGAGATCCACCTGCATCTGCCTCCTGAGTGCTGAGATTAAAGGTCTGTACCACTACCGCCTAGCATAAATAAATTTTTATTTAAGGGATTTTAATTCTTCTGCTGTCTGTCCAGGTCACTTGGGGTCAAGATTTCTATAAATAGCCCTTTCTCAAAGAAAGATGCTCAGTCTACTTGTGCTATCAGCCCTTTATTCTTTTTGGTTTTTCAAGACAGGGTTTCTCTGTGTAGCTTTGGTGCCTGTCCTGGAACTCACTCTGTAGCCCAGGCTGGCCTCGGACTCACAGAGATCCTCCTGCCTCTGCCTCCCGAGTGCTGGGATTAAAACAGTGTGCCACCACCGCCCGACTAAATTGGTTTTGTTTTGGTTTGGTTTGGTTTTGTTTTGGTTTTTCGAGACAGGGTTTCTCTGTCTAGTTTTGGTTTTGGTGCCTGTCCTGAATCTCACTCTGTAGACCAGGCTGGCCTTGAACTCATAGAGATCCACCTGGCTCTGCCTCCCGAGTGTTTGATTAAAGGCATGCGCTACCACTGCCAGGCTCTTAGGTGCTCTTTATCCCTACCCTTGACTGGAAAGTTCAGGAATGTTACCTCTGTAGTTTATGTTCCAGTCCAAATGGCTAAGGTTACTTAGCTTCCTGTCTTCAGGAAAGAACACATGTACCTCTAAGGGCAGTCACTGAAAAATGTTCATAGCCTTAGAGGAATAAATAGAAACAGATTTTTGACATTTCTTTCACTAGGTCAAAGGCCGTGATAAACATATCAATAATTTGAAAAAGAAATGTCAGAAGGAATCAGAGCAGAACCGGGAGAAGCAGCAGCGTATTGAGACGTTGGAACGCTATCTGGCTGACCTACCCACCCTTGAAGATCATCAGAAGCAGACCGAGCAGGTAGCAGCAATCTCTAGCTGTACCGGGAGCAAGCAGGGAGTGGCCAGGGAGGGGGCCATTCTCATTATCTGACTTATTGAAAGGACTATCTCAAAGGAGTCATGTCCAGCTAGATTCACAACTGGATGATTTTTTTTTTTTTTTTCTTTTAGATACAGTCTCTTGGTGTAGTCCTTACTGTCCTGGAACTTACTATGTAGACCAGGCTGGCCTCGAACTCACAGAGATCGCCTACCTCTGCTTACTAAGTGCTGGGATTAAAGGTGTGTGTCACCACACCAGCCTTGTTTTGTTTCTTGGAGACAAGGTCTCATTGTAAATCCCTGGCTGGTCTAGAACTCACTATGTAGAGCAGACTGGCTGAACTCACAGAGGTCTGCCTGCCTCTTGCAGGGACTAAAGGCATGTGCTACCTACCATACCCAGCTTAAGGACTGCTGTTTGAGATCGCCACTCAGTCTTCCTTAGCTAAGCATGGGGTCCTGTCTCTTAGCTTAAGGATGCAGAGTTGAAGAACACAGAACTGCAAGAGAGAGTGGCTGAGCTGGAGACTTTGCTGGAGGATACCCGGGCAACCTGCAGAGAGAAGGAGGTTCAGCTGGAAAGCCTGAGACAGAGAGAAGCAGAATTCTCCTCTGCTAGACATAGGTAATGCCCTTTAGACTTGAGGGAAGGAGAGGGTTTTCTTCTGGTGCAGTGTTAACTACCCTGCTTGCTTACTTATTTTAAGTGAATGTGCAAACCCCCCTCTCTTAGAGCTTTGTTTTCTTTGGATTGTGACTAATAGGAAAGTTGCTTATGGGCAGAAATCTTGTCTTTGTGGTGTAGTGGGGTTTATCATAGTGTGATTGGGAAAACACTTCTGGGTTTTTATTCTGTGAAGAGACACCACGACCATGGCAGCTCTTATAAAGGAAAACATTTAATTAGAGTGGTATGCTCTTTTGGAGGTTCAGTCTATTATCTTCATGATGGGGAGTATGGCAGCGTGCAGGTAGAGATGGTGCTAGAGCTGAGAGTCCTCTATCTTGCAGGCAACAGGAAGTCCTCTGCAGGGAGAGTATGCTTTCATAATGGCTGAAGCATGTCTCCAAGCCAAGTTTGATTTCTTATGCAGCCCAAGACATCCTGACTAGGGATGGTACTGTCTGCAGTCAATCTCCTCTAGAAAACTGAAGAGTCAAGGCTTTGAGGGTTCCTTAAATGAATTCCCCTAAGATGTCGTACATCAAGATGACTTGTACCAAGGTGACAAGTAAAGATAACTTAGGACAGGGACGAAGCTGGCTCTGCTGTAAACACCATGTACCAAGAAAAGAAAGATGAGTTTTGTTTTGTGTCTTGCTCTGTATCCCACCTTGACTGAATGCTGTTGTGAAATCCAGCAAATCCCCCTGTCTCTTTTCCAGAACATACTGGAATTTCAGGCATATACCACCATGCTCAGCTAAAAGAGTTCTTGTATATTCTTCAAATTTTATTTATTTATTTGGTTTTTTTGAGACAGGGTTTCTCTGTAAAAAACAGTCCTAGCTGTTCTGGAACTCACTCTGTAAACCAGGCTAGCCTCAAACTCACAGAGATCCCCCTGCCTCTGCCTCCCAAGTGCTGGGATTAAAGGTGTGCACCACCACTGCCCAGCTCAAATTTTATTTTTTAATATCAAAACAGAATACAAGAGTCTTTGGCAAATAAAGATTGAGAGGGGGAGGTGGGGGGGGAGCAGGAGAAGGGAAGAAAGGGATCTTTGATTGGTGTGTAAAATGAATGGAAAAAAAAAAAAGAATTGATGGTATATTGTATAGATTCTGGCCCCTAGCAGAGGAAACCAAATACACTGAGTATCGTCTGTCAGGGACGCCCTGTATCACATCATCCTCAGCTGTGGGTAGGAAGGTGGAACTGTTTTGCTCCAAAGACATAGTAAATAACAGAACCAAGAATTAAAGCCATAATGGTTCTGATTTCATAGTTCTAGAAGAAGACATTGTCTTTCAGCTTGCAAGATAAACAGTCTGTGGAGGGTGCCAGTGGAGAAGGTTTCACAGTGGAAATGGAATCCCAGCAGAAGGAATGTGATTCCCTCCGAAAGGTGATTAAGGGTATCTGGGCTCTGGCTTGGATAGGCTGGGAGGAGAGAAGAGATTGTGTACTGGGAAGGAATCAGGAATTCTGTCTTAAGCCATCTAGGATCTGTTCCCAAAAGCTTTTCTCTCTTCTGAGAAGTCAGCCCTGTATAGTAAGTTTGCATTTTAGTTATTCAGTCTTATGACAAGCAAGTTGCTTATCAGGAATACATGCAGAAGTTAGGAGCAACATGCCATCAGATGAACCAAAATGATGTACTGAAGCCCAGGTACACTGCAGCTCTGGTTCAGGGCCTGGAGAGACAATGTTCATCAAAACATTGTAACCGGTGAGGTGGACAGTTTCTCAACTCAGCAAATAATAGAGATCCGGTAACCTGCTGGTGAAACAGGTTACAGGTCAGCAGAAATGGTTCAGGGATTATGTGAGCTATTGAGGCACAGAAAGCTGAGACAGTTTAGGTTCTCTCCTTTAGTAGATCACTGACCAAATCTCTAAACCCATACCCATGGTAGCCCTGGATAGGGAGACTCAGAAAGCTGAATTTGTCCTTTTTCCTGAAGAACCACCATGTGTACTGGGTGTGTATAAAGTTAATTCCACTGACCTGCAGTCATTAGGTGAGGGTCCCCCACCCCAGAAGTGCTCATGGGGACTGTCAAGTTCCTCTGTAAGACTTGTTATGACGAGAGCACCGAGTCCCAGGGCTGTGAAAGTAGACAACGAAGATCAGGAGTCCCAGTTAGATTTCTGTAGGTCGTGCTAACCGATCCTCACCCTGGTCTTACAATGCTGGCATTGGATCAAAGATCCTCATACACATCAGCTTTGTGCTTTTGTAGCCTTTCTTGATAACTTTGCCTTTCAGATGGTGGAGAGGCAACAGCTGAAGATAGAGCAGCTGCACTCTCAAGTCCAGGTGAGCAGGAGGCTTTGTGCGGGGGGGGGGGGGGGGGGGGGGGGGGGGGGATATATAGAACTTAACTGATGGAAGCTTGGGATTCAGCTTAACATTTCATTGCCTTCTCTGCCATGTGGTATGCTTGTTGTTTGGTATACAAGAAGAACGAAACAGTGCTTTTGGACCTCCTGTCTTGTTTAGAAGACAGATGATAGACATTTCAGCACAGTTCTCTGAGAGCCAGGTTCATACCACCTTAGCGGGTGAACTCAGGAGAGTCTGTGTGAGCAGGGGAGGTCAAGGACAAGTTTCTGGAGATCCTGAGCATGAATGATGAGACATTAGCCAGGTAAAGAGCACCTGAGTAGGATGGAACTGGAAATCCTGTAGGAGGAACATCAAGGTTTAAATGTGGAACAGCATGGTTTAAACATGAACCTGTAAAGCAGTTTGATACTATTGAAGTGCAGCCATGTACTGCTTACCCGTGGGGCTACATTTTGAGAAACGTGCACTTAGATGATTTCATCTTTGTGAGCATTAGAGTATACTATTAAGACACTTCATCACTAGACTGTGTCTTACAGGACCTCACTGTCCTATATGCAGTCCATCATTGGTCAAAACATCTTAGGCAGTGCATGACTATCTTGAATTTAGGTAGTGAGTGGAGAAGTGAGCAGAAGAGGTTATAGGAAGGTCTTGTCTGTCCTATGGTGTTAGCTTTTATTTTTCCTACGTGTATGTCTGTGCACCGTGTATGTGCCTGGTGCCCACAGAGGTCAGAAGAGGTGTCAGATCCCCTGAAACTGTAGTTAGGATGGTTGTGAACCACTTTGTGTGCGCTGGGCATCAAACCTAGCCCCTCTGTAAGAACAGCAAATGTTTTTAACTGCTGAGCCATCTCTCCAACTCCTTGGTGTGTTAACTTTAATCTTTAGTGGGTGATGGGAATTTTTGTTTGTTTGTTTGTTTGTTTTTGGGTTTTTTGTGGGGTTTGGTTTTTTTTTTTGTTTTTTTTTTTTCGAGACAGGGTTTCTCTGTGTAGTTTTGGTGCCTGTCCTGGATCTCGCTCTGTAGACCAGGCTGGCCTCGAACTCACAGAGATCCGCCTGGCTCTGCCTCCCGAGTGCTGGGATTAAAGGTGTGTGCCACCACTAGCGGGGGAATCTCATTAGAACATTTAGTTATGGTGTGGTATGGTGAAGTTTGCAGTTCAGGCTCACCTGAAAGACTGACATCCTAGAAAGAGGCAGCTGGGGACTGTTGCAGAAAATGTATTGAGGTGATGGGGACTGAGGCATAACCCATGGTAACAGAAGAGATGTAAGGAGACAGATGGAAGACCATTTAGAAGGAGTCAGCGACTGACAGAAGCAGGGGTTTGAGGAATAGGAAAGAACCAACCATGACTCCTGGTTCCTATTTTGGGCCAGAGTAGGAGTGTTCATTAATTGCATTCTCCGAGAAATCTTGAGTGAAATAGATTGACTCAAGTTTTTTGAACTCTGAAAGGCTTTACACTGGTGGCTGGGGATATGGATTAGTAGGAAAAGCGGAGTTCAGACCCCAGCACCCATGTAGGTGCTACGTGTCAGAAGTCACATGCAGGATAAGGTAGAGAGGAGTCAAGAAAAGACACGGGAACCTCTGACCTCTACACAGAGTGCACATGCGCGTGTGTACTCACACATGTACAAACACACACATGTGGCACACACATGACATATGCAAAAAATAAAAGAGTTTTCACACCAAACTTGCCATGCGCCGAGGAAAAGCTGAAGGTGCCCACCTGCCTTTCCAGCTCACTCTGTGTAGTTGCCTCTTCTGGTCTTGTTGTTGAGAAGCTCTCGCACTTGGTGAGCGTGTAACCGCCCTGGTTTTAGTTGTTAATGGCTCATTAAATGAAAGGGTTTAAATCAGTGCTTCTCAACCCGTGGGTCACAGCCCCTTTGGGATCAAATGACCCTTGAACAGGGGTCACCTAAGACTATCTGAAAACAAGATATTTACATTATGATTTATAACAGTAGCAAGATTACAGTTATGAAGTAGCAACAAAAATAAATTTATGGTTGGGGTCACCACAACATGGGGACCTGTATTCAAGGGTCACAGCATTGGGAAGGTTGAGAACCCCTGGTTTACATGGAAAGTAACAGACCTGAGCTCTTCTCATATAACCCTTAAAGCAGCTGTGTAGCAGGGTGGCACTCAGTGTGTAGCACAGGGGAGAGGTGATGCCATCCACGTCAGACTTGTTACCCTGGGTATGTTCTGCACAACATCTCACTGTGTGGTCTCTAGAGCCTAAAGCAAGAACTGGCTCAAGAAGAAGGAATAAGCCAGGCCTTGAGAGAGGAGGCACAGCGGAGGGAGATAGCCCTGCAGCAGATTCGTACAGCCGTGAAGGAGGTAAGCATCGGCTAGGTCCAAAGAGCCTCCACAAATCTCATCTCTCCATTTCCCACCCCTTTCCTTCCCCTACACAAATGTGGAAGAGACTGTGGAGTTTTTTAGCAAAGGAATGAGTAGTACTATTGCATTAGCCTGTTTTAGAGTGGCCTTAGTCACCCAGGAATGCTTTTTAGATGTGGGGTCTCCTCCTTTTCTCCCTCCCCACTCAGTCTTCCTGCAGCCAAGGGTTTGTGGGATTGGAGGCGGGGGAAATCGAGAAGACTGAGGGAGCAGGGTGCGGCTTTACGGATGTGTAATCCCAGTACTTGGGAAGTTGAGGCCGAGTTCAAGGCAAGCTTGTCTCACACACAAATAGCCCCAAAATGAATGAAGATTTGGTGGTACTCATGTAGTGAATAGAGTTGTTAGTAGGGCCCACTGAGTTCACTGGCCAGGTGCCTAGGAAGACGTCTCTCAGAACTACGATTGTTATGTGGCCCAGTGTGGCAGAGACCAGAGGTAGGGGATGGGGAGGGGGCTCTCTGTAAGAGAGAAGGCAAAGACGCCTTACATCAATAGCTGCTCTGTATCAGGAAGCCTAACTGTACTACAGTGAGAGCTTGAAATGTAGAATGCTTACCTCCCTGGAGCAGGGCAAGAGGATGACTGACTACAAGTTCAAAGCCAGGGCAGCCAAGGGTTTACACAAAAAGTTCCAGGTCAGCCAGGGCTGCCCTGTATCAAGCAAACAAGCAAAGTGTGGTTAGGGAACGTAGCTCAATTGGTAGGGTACTTGCCTTGCAGCATGCGTGAAGGCCTGAGCTATAAAGTAGGGGTAGTGGTACATTTAACTCCTGCACTTGGAAGGTAGCGACAGGAGGATCAGAAGGTCAAGGTCGTCCTCAGCTATGAAGGAAGTTGGAGGCCAGACGTGGCTATGTGATACCCTGTCTCAAAAATAAAAGGGGCAGGGAGAGGGGACAGACAAGATGTCTCTTACCTTTCCCAGTCTTCCTGTCTCCCTTGCCCCTGTTCCTCTCACAGCCTGTTATCAGGCTGGCTGGGAGCCACTTTGGTCAGGGTGGCAGGGCCAGATTGAAACCAGTGTCTCCTCAGATTTCACTGTTCACGTTAAGCCATCTCTAATAGCCTGGCTAACGGAGTTGGCTGAAGGACTGGCTTCAGATAGAGTTCTCTGTTCCTGGACCGAAACCTGGAGGCTGGTGACTCAGATCCTGCTGAGGAATAGTTTTCTTTCCAGTGCTGGGTCCCTAAGGGCCTGGGCTCAGCCTACACACGGGAGGAGCTACTATCTGTAGAGGGAAAGGGGTCGGGGGAGGGGAAGGTGGCACCAAGCCTGTGTGGGTAACGTGGGGAGGGACAGTGTGACTAAATTTCCCCTTCACACCCATGCCCATTCAGATACACAGATCTTTGCCCCCCTTTGGGTCTTCATCAGTTTACCCATCTGTTTGCTTAGCTCTCAGTGCAAAACCAGGACCTGATTGAGAAGAATCTGACGCTGCAAGAGCACTTGCGCCAGGCCCAGCCGGGATCCGCATCTTCCCCAGACACGGCCCAGCTGGCAGATGAGCTGCACCAGGAACTGGCCATTTGCCTTCAAGATCTGCAAGCTGTCTGCAGCATTGTGACCCAGAGGGCCCAGGGCCACAACCCTAACCTCTCTCTGCTCTTAGGCATTCACTGTGAGTCATCGAAAGGGCTCTCATTCTCTCACCCATCCAACTTTGCTGTCCTTACGGTAATTGTGAACCAGGTGCATAGGCCTGGCCATTGCCATGTGGGAGTTGTCAAAGTGTTATTAAGTGTCTCATAAACAGGCCTCCTTAGAGGAGCCTGCATAGGGGACAAACAGAAAGTGGGCCTTAGGCAACAAATTATCAGCTCACTATTCCCAGCTTGTTCTTTTTGGTTCTTTGAGACAGTTTCTTTGTGTAGCCCTGGCTGTTCTGGATCTCACTCAGTAGGCCAGGCTGGCCTCAAACTCACAGAGATCCACCTGGCTCTGCCTCCCAAGTGCTAGGATTAAAGGCGTGCGCCACCACCGCCACCACAACTGGCCACCAGCTTGTTCTTTAAAAACATCATATCTGAGCCGGGCGGTGGTGGCGCACGCCTTTAATCCCAGCACTCGGGAGGCAGAGGCAGGCGGATCTCTGTGAGTTCGAGGCCAGCCTGGGCTACCAAGTGAGTCCCAGGTAAAGGCGCAAAGCTACACAGAGAAACCCTGTCTCGAAAAACCAAAAAAAAAAAAAAATCATATCTGAAAAAGGGGGGTGGGGGACAGGCAAAAGATGCCTTTCAGCTCTGGATCTTCAAGTCTCTTACCTTTCCCAGCCCCACACTCAGTGACCACTAAGTCTTACTGTCTCCCTTGGCCCTCTGTTCCTCTCACAGCTTGTTATCAGGCTGACCAGTGGCCACTTATGTCAGGGTGGCAGGGCAAGATTGAAACCAGTGTGTCCTAAGTTTGGAGCTGTAGCTTGTAGTTGAGTCCTTAGTATAAGCAAAACCCTGGCTCAGTCCTCAGTACTGGAGGGGAAAGCTGTGTCCTAAGATCCTGGTGCTTTAAGAAGTGCGTATTTGTCCTCATGAAGTTTCAGTCAGCTCATTTGCTAACACTCTTAAAATTCTCTTCTCATCAGCCACCCAGCTCCCAGGGACTCAGCTGGATTTGCAGAAGCCAGATGTGATCAGGAGAAAACTAGAAGAGGTTCAACAGCTGCATCGTGACATTGAGGACTTAAGGACCAGCCTGTCAGACAGATATGCCCAGGACATGGGAGAAAACTGTGCCACACAGTGAGGAGCGAGGGAGGACCTGGCTGATAGTAGCCTCGCCAGAAGGTTCCTGCCCTGACAATCCTGCCTTCTGCTGCTGCACCCGGGGGGAGCCTGTGTCTGGGGCCAGGGGTGATGAGAAGCCTGCCTGTTTGCTGTATACTGACTTTGCCTTACTGGGTTATGTTTTACCTGTTATCTTACTCTGAAAGGCTGAGTTACTAATTAACCTTTTTGTAGATTCAACTGATAAACGGTCCTCACAAACTGTTCCCAGCCCTAACCTGACATCAGAAGCAAACAGGCTGCTCACCTCCCCTCTCCATCCTCCAGGATGACCCGTGTTCATTCCTACTCCATACCTTGGTCCTGCTGATGCTCTGTTAAGAGAGGCCTGAAAGGTTAAGTAGGAGTAGCAACCTTTGAAGAATTCTCAGGCCCCGTGTTTCAGCCTTCCTGGGAACCCAGCTGGCTTTCTGGGTTTTCTCAGGTACCTGCTTCCTCAGGGCTGTTGTTCCCCACACAGGCCTCAGGGTTATCTACCCCTTAGTAAAGTCCCCCACTAGGATTGCTGGCTTGGGGACTACAGCAGGGCTCCTCATCCTGCCTGCTGTGCTATCTTTTACAGGAAACTCTGGCTACCCTGTGTCCCTGGTGCCCTGGCATGTGGTCAGCATAGCCTTTCTCCTTTGCTCGGGCCTTCTAGGTAGCCCCGTCTGGGGTGCCTAAGTGCAGACCCCTCTGTTGTGATGGCCCTGTGGTTTGCAGGTTGCACAAGCTACTCACCCCTTCCCACGGCTGGGGCTGTAGCTAGCCCTCTGATTTGTGCCTCTTTGTTTGAGGTTGGGGGAAATTCCTTTTCCCCTCTGTGACCTCCTTGAGAGTTAGAGCACCTAGTGTGGGTCAGCTCTAAGAGTGTTCAATGTTTCCTAGTGTTTTGTTTTTCTGGGGCCTTTGGACCCTCAGCTTTTTGGTTTTTCTTGCCTCCTGATTTAGGGATGGTCTCAGTTTTATCTGGTTGTTGGGCTAGCCCTTCAACTTCCTCTAGTTTGGAGCTGGGGGCCCTATGTGTATGAGGAGCAGAGTAGTTTGGGGGATGCAGAGGCAGCCATGATGGGACTTTTGCTAAGTCTCTGGGCTGTTAAAAGCATCCTGGACCTCCAGGGCAGGCCCGAGTGGCCTTATTTTCAAGTGTTCTCATAAGTTTGTGTTTTATTTATGGATGGCTTACCTTTTCAGAGTAGCCACACCCAGCTGGCTATCTCCTCAGCCTCTGGGCTCCTGCCTCCTAAAACCAGAGCTGCCTGGTTGGTGTCCACCCTATGTCAATGGGAGCCCAGCCTCCATGCTCACGGGTATTTTTTCTTCGTAAAGTTTATAAAATTATTTATATGAATCTTTGTTATGTCGACTGGTTTGTATTGCCTATTTTGATTACAGAATAAAACATTTTAACAGATGCTTCAGTTTTCTGTTGTCTCCCAGCATCCTTTGCCCAGTCCCCACTTTGGCTTGTGGAGCCAAAGACTAGCTCAGAACGACTTAGGCAGATCCAGCTTGGTAGCTGAATCTCTTCCCACTTCTGCTCTGTCTGCGTGGGGACAGATGAGGTCTCTGCCCACACTCTGTTGCAGAGAGCTCCCCCACCACCAGCCAGTCATCACTACAAAGTTGCAGCAGACCTCAGAGATGTCGGCAGGCAGCTTCTGGGTTTCTGTGGCCTCTGAGGAAGTGACTTCCCCATAACCAGATAGGCAGTATGCCTCAGAGGGCAGGATTGGTTGGCTTCCTGGGCCGCCAGCTGTGTAGCCCTGGGTGTGGGGGGCGGGATAGTGCTCCAAAATTGGGGTGGGTCTGGACTTTCCCACCTCATCAGCTGAATTCCTAATAATCAAAGCTATGGGATGTCATTTGCACCATGAAGGTAGAGTTGAGCTGGGACCGCCCCGAAACCAGCTATGGATATTTACCAAGGCCAGTTTGAGCCAGGCTTTCATGTGGTGACACCAGCTTTTGCCTTACACACTAGTGAGCTGTCCTGCAGCTTACCTCCTTCTCCATCTGGCTTCAGAAGGGTGTGGCCCCAGTTTGCAGCCACCACCCTTTCTTGTCAGAGCCTGTTTGAGTGGAGAGGTGCTTTAGGGGAAGTAAGTGTCCTGGCTGCACCGCCCCTCCCCAGCGCCACCACAACCCCTTTCCCCGCCTTCGAAAGTTCCATGCTGAGTTGTGCTATTAAGGGACCTGGTGACCAGGGTGGTGACTGCGCTGGGCACTGGATGTACAAAACCTGGGTGAACTGGGAAAAGCTTTCAGCTGAACCGTTCGGCCTACCTTCCCGGCTTTTCTTCTTATTTGTGGTTTTTTTTTCCCCCTCTGGTCCCCTCCCAGCCACACATGAGCCCCAAGCCAGACGGCTGAGTGTAGCCGAACAGGAACAGCCGCTGAGGACTGGGGTCCTCCGGGCTCCAGGCCACAGCAGGGCAGGGAGGGAGCCTCCAGCGCAGGGCGGTGTCGTGCAGGCCCCGCCTCGCCCGCCTGCGCAGCTCATTGGCCCCGAACGCACTGACTCGCGGGCGGAGCAGGAAGGAAACCGCTCCCAAGCGCGGCGGCAGCGTCGTTTCTAGCCGTGCAGCTGCCGCTCCCACCAGCCCTCGCTTGCTTTGCGTGTCCCTTTCCTGCAGCATGAGTGGTCTGCGCGTCTACAGCACGTCGGTCACCGGCTCTCGTGAAGTAAGTGTGTGCCTGGGCCGGCGCCCGGGCAAGGCGGGCCGTCTCCCTGTGCTCCGACCCGCGCCCGGGAGCCGCCCCCACGATGGAGGCAGTGAGGTGCGGGGTATGGCCTCCCAGGTCTAGTCCGGGGGACGCGGCCCAGCCTGAGCCCCTCCACCGGGGATCCCTCGGCATCCCCAGCATGAGCTGCCCACACCCATCCCCCACTGTGGGGCCACCCATTCTCTTGCACACCCCCCATACACACCTCCTTAATCCCCGCTCCCTCTCCACCGTGAGGCTGTGGAGGAGGGTGTTTTTCATGTAGGGCCTCATCCTGATCGAGTCCAGCTTCCCTGACTTACCCAGAACTTGACCGTCTTCTCTTTCTGAGACTCCTGTAGGTGATCCCTCTCATCCTTGGACCCTTCCCATCCCTTAGTGGTCAGAATCTCCCCGTAGGGTGGGCAGGACAAAAGCTCCTGCTAACACCGGACCAGAGTTCCTTCCATAAATCCTCCAGCCTGCCTGCCTGCCTGCCAACCCTGTCAATCCTCTGCCCCTAGATCAAGTCCCAGCAGAGTGAGGTGACCCGCATCCTAGATGGGAAGCGAATCCAATACCAGCTAGTGGACATCTCCCAGGACAACGCCCTTCGAGATGAGATGCGAGCCTTGGCAGGCAACCCCAAGGCCACCCCACCCCAGATTGTCAACGGGGACCAGTACTGCGGGGTATGGGGTTTGGGGTCTGGGAGGTGTTGGAAGACTGCAGCCAGGGTCAGACCTGGGCAAAGCAGTAGGGTCCCCTGCTGCACTCAGGTGACTACCTCTCCCTCAGGACTATGAACTCTTCGTGGAGGCCGTGGAACAGAACACACTGCAAGAGTTCCTGAAGCTGGCCTGAGTAGGGATGGCCACCATCCATCCCTACCCAACTCCTCACCAGGCCTTGAAGGACCTTGTGACCAACCTTGGAGTCCCTCCCTGCAAATCCAAGCCCTTTCTGTATCCCCCTCCTTCCTTCCTTCCTTCCGAGGCAACATTCCTTACTCACCAATCGGTCTCAAGAGATTGTCTTAAGCAATGCCCCCAATGCTGGCTGCCCCTAGCCAGGCCATGGGGCTACCTCCCTGCCTGGCACTGCCTGATGGGTATTTCTGTTAGTTCCATCAGCCAGAGCTCTGCCAAAGGCCCCGCAAGTCCCTCTCCTGGGAGCATCCTAGAGACAATTAAATGCCCATTCCACTGGTGCAGTCTGTCTGGTTATGGTGTCCTAGGTCCCTGCTTGGCAGCAGTGGTGGTCCTGGTTGTTACAGCTGTGTTGAGTCTGTGTGTGCATGTGGAGCACGTGTTTGGCTGTGTCTCGCAGCACATGACCATGGTTGACATGCAGTTTCTCGACATGGTAGCTGAGTCACCCTCAATTTCCCATGCAGGTTCTGGTGTTGATCTGCCTGCCTGACAGTGGGTGGCTGCCCTAGGCTGCCTCCTGTGTTGGAGACTGATTCGGTGTGGGTGCCATGGGAGGTGTACAGCTGCAGTTGTATCAGATTGAGAGCATGGGGGTGGTTGTGGCAGTGGGTTTGTGCACAGAATGGAAAAAGTGTCTGCATGAACATGTGGATTTACATGCATCCGGCTGTCTTCAGAGGCCTGACCCCCACTGAGGCTCCCCTGCCCCAGGTGAGACAGAGAATATCAGTCAACCCAGCTAGGGCTGGCCACTACCTCCACAGGATCTACTTAGCACAACTTGGGAGAAAGAGGAACCTAGCGGACAAAGAGCCCGTGGCTACACCCGCTGAGGCTCCAGTTACAGGCCTGAGTGTCTGTACCGCCCCCTCCCTAGCCCAGCCTTCCCTCCAGCCAGTCCTGTCTAGAGAGCCTTGTGGAGCTCCTGGTGTCAGGGGCGGCACTTTATTCAGGGAAGTGAGCCTGAGCCACGGTGGGAGCCGGAACCAGAGCCAGAGCCAGTACCAAAGCTGGGGTTCAACAGCAGGGCTCTTGGGGGCCGTAACAGCAGTGTTGCATTGGGAACCAGGCCTGCGGCCTGCAGTGTGAGGGCATCATCCTGGTAGACCGTGGGTGGAAAGGTGCTGAAGATCTCAAAGGTGGCCGCATCCATGTCCCTGGGTGTCCATCAGAGTGCATCAAGCGAGGCCATGGGGCCAGGGACTCCCTGCAGCCCCCAGCCCTGTCTCGTACCCACCTGGCCTGTGCTAAGAGGGTGCGCACGTCACCAACAGTGTCCTCGGGCCGCATCATCAACAGGAAGGCCTGCTCCCCATTCTCAGACTTGATGCGCAGCATGGAGAGCGGAGGCACTGGCATGTCGGGGGACTCCTGGCTCCTGCAGGTCCAGAGGCCCTCAGTGCGCCCCAGCTCCCAGGTCCTTTCCTCTCTGCCCTGCTCTCACCTCTCTGCCCAGCCCTCACCTCTGCCGCTCAGAAGCCAAAGCAGGTGTCTCCACTATGATCTCCTGGATCCGGGCAGGCATTGGGCAGCAGTTCTGGAAGGCAGCCAGGGGAAGTAGACAGAGCTCTAGGTCCCACCTACATCATTTCCTCCACCCTTAGAGAGGACTGGCGCATTCCTGAGCAGGGGTGGATGAGACCCGTGAGCCAAAGAGCTGGGATGTTCTGTGTAAAGGGAAGGGGCTCTGGGACACGACGCCATCATTCTCCCAGTCCAATGTGGGAGACAAGCCCACCAGATGATGGCCAGGCTTGGGGACCTAAGCTAGCCTGGGCTCAGGGAAGACACCTGAGTCTGAAGGATGAGTAGCAGTCATCTGAAATGGAAACAGGGCAGGGACACTCCCTACACAAAGATCCTGACCAACAGGAATCTGCAAGGAGAGGATATGGTGGGAACCTGCCAGCAGTTTACAGCTCTTGAAACAAGGAACCAAGTCAGACTGAAGGAAGGGGGAAGAGATGGGGGAGGCACTGATACAAAATGGACGTTCAGGGCTGGCTAAGGACCTTGGCTTTCTCCAAGAATCCCCAGACAGTTCCAACAGAGAAGAATGCTGGGGGCACATGGCTAGCAGGTGGGAAGGCCAGCACGGAAGGAGTGAGTGTGAGATACTCTGCAGCCTGGAGTGGTGGGCTGCACGGAGGAGCTCGAGGGGAGGGCCACACTGGACAAGACAACTCGGGCAAAGAAGACGAGTCCGAGACACGAGACTTGGCACCCCTTTCTTGGGTGGACACTTGGGAAGAAGAACCAGTGAAGACAGAAGGTAATGAACTCGAAGCATCTGAAAGGCCTGTAGGACAATTAAGAAGCCTCCACACCAAGCTCAAGGCCATGCCCTGGACTAGGGCTCATACCCCCCACCCCGCAGCTGTAGGCAACCCAGCTGCCCTGTGGGGTAAAGCACAGAGTCCTCACCAGCTCCAGAAACATGATACAGTTCTGAGGGTGTCCTTGCCATCCTGGCCTTTACTTGGGACCTATAGGCCTGAGCCTCCTGGCAAGACACTGTAGGCTGAGCCAGGGTTGGTGATAAAGTCCCCTGGAGAAAGCTGGGTAATTAGGGCAGGCCTCACCTGCAAGGTGTCCCTGATGGGGCCCCGGATGTCAATCACCTCGCCTTGTCGGATTACACACTTGGGAAGCCTGTTCAGAAATTTCTCAGCAGTCATCCTGGAGCCTGCAGGGAGGGCATTGGGAACCTTGGCCCAGGAGGGACAGGAAGTGCTGGTAGAGGCCACCTGGAGTTTGCTCTGCACAGCTCCCCAGCCAGCCTTGGGGCCCGGCTTACCTGAAGTATCCTCCAACCTGTCCGAGTTCTTGCGCATTTTCTGCCGGCCCACCACACGACCCTCACCTGGGAACGAGCCCAGCCCATCCTCTGGGAAGACCTGATTGCGCAGGTCGCTTACCTGGCAGGAAAGAAGGGCCACAGAAGCAGGGACCCCCAACTCCTCAGCCCTGAAACCTGACCCCCACCCGTTTGCCCAGAGGCCTCCAGCACAATGGTCTAATACAAGAGAACCACAGTTCGTGTTGCTACCACCTCGGGCCCCGTCATGCACACACCCCTCTTACTCATCCTAGCTGAGGCCTTAGTACCGACGCCCACCCCCCCAACACACACACTGGAAGCTGGTCACACAAGGGGTGAATGTCGGGACAGGGCAGAGCCCGGCTCTTGTCTAGTCTGCAGGGCAGACTCCTTCCCCGCAGGTCCCCAGTTACCCTGTCAAGGCAGTTAGTTAGTTCCAAGATTCTGGAAATCTCGAAAACCACGAGTCAGGACTCACACTACTTTTTGGATCATGGTGGCACACAGCCTTGCCGTGGAGCTAATCCACCTCTGAGCCTGCTGCCTCCTGGTCCCCATGATGGCCACCTTCATTGCACTCAGCCCTGGCAACCCAGGGGCTCACCTCCTGTCCTTGAAGCCCGGCCAGCACCGCCTCTTTCCAGTGTTAGCAACTCACGCCTGCCTTCCACCCCAACCACGTGGTTTCAGAAGCCTCTGGGGAAAACTAGGCCCCCTGTGCATTATAGATTCCTCAGGAACCCCACGGTGTCAAGATGCCCCGAATGCAGGGGAGGGTGTCAGAGCAGTGGTCCCGCCAACGCTGTACCTTCAAGATGCCAGCAGGGGGCACTGTCTGCCTCTCAGCTTGAGAGAACTATGACCCCTCTTGCCATGACAACCTCCTCACTCTGCTCCCTCACCCTCCTGCAGGGCATCCTGACCGTCCCGAGTGGATGACTCCCTCGTAGGATGGCCGACCCCTGAGTCAGCTATCCCCATTCTCTCCGAAGTCGCACAGGGAAGGGGTGGGCTGGGGAGCCACCGGTTACCTTAAAGGGGACTCCATCAGGATACAGCCGCTGGAGCTCTGAGGGAAAGAAGCCATCCAGTATGTCCCGGAGGCAGCGCTGCAGGAGAGTGAACAGGCCTCTGTAGCCAGGCTATGTCATGCTACGCCAAACCAGCTACCTGTTGGTTGGCAAGCCCTAAGCATCATACTCTGGAAATATTGGGAACTCCAAGATTGGAGGGGTCGGGCCTGTGCACTTTGTGGAGGGCAAGCTAGTGCAGTGAGCTGGCTCCACCATCTCCAAGCAGGGGTGAGCAGGCATGGGCCCCAGAGCCCCATCCTACCTGTGTGGAGGGATCATAGAAGGGCCGGAAGGGCCCGTCAAACATCATAATGCCATTCCGGTAGAGCTTTAGAGGGATAGGCTCTAGGGTACGGAGCTGCGCCCCACCAGGCACTGGCTTCACTTGGGTCTCTCCCTCCACGACCAGCTCACTCAGATCCTGTAGACTGGCCAGCAGTCTGTCAAAGTCCACCTCGGGGGGCGCCAAAGAATCTCCTGACAAAAAACAATAGATGCCTATGAGCCTCTGCAGCTGCTGTGTGCCCTGGCAGCTCTGGCTTCTGGGGGGCCCTCCCTCTCGGAGCAGAAGCCTCAGTTCCTAAAGGGGCCACCTGAAAGAAAAGGGTATCTGAACCAGATAACAACGGCAGCCATCTTTTATTGGATACTCACTTTGAACTTTGTATTTGAGTCCTGGTCCATGTAGCCTTGAACTATGTAGTGAGGATGCCCTTTGAACTCCTTCTGATCCTCCTGCCTACACATCCCAAGTGCTGGGATTACATGAGTGTCATCACACCTAGCAGGACACTTACTATCCATCATCCCACTTCCTCCACTTAGGGATCCAATGCTGTAAGGGTTACACTCCTTCCCATTCTCAGAGGGAAACTGAGGCCAGAGAGTTTAGTAGCTTTTTAGAAGTGCACAGCATTAAAAGCAAAAGCAAAGTTTGATACTAGACCTGTGCCTGGCACTGGGTTGGCAAACCTCCCAGCTCTGGATCAAAGCTTTCAGAGTTCAAATCCCAGCCCCTGTACTTCTTCCTGTGTGGCCTTATCACAATGCCCAGGGCTAGAATGGGATGCCAATAGTGTTGGCCTCCCAGGGTGGCTATAAGGTGCCAAGGAAGTGAGGACTGACCTGGAACATCCTGAACTGTCCACGGTCGATTGCTAGTCACCAGCTCTACCTTGTACAAATGGTCCTCAGACCAACCCAAGGCTGGGAGGCAGGGCCTGTTTAATCTCCACTATGCATGAGGAAACAATATCAGAAAAACCAAAAGTGACTCATCCCAGGCCACCTGGCAAGTTAGAGGACTCAGGACCCAATTGCATCATCAGGAGAGGGAGGGCAGGGGCAGGGCTAGGTGGCTGTTAGGATGTTGGGACAGCTGCTG